ATATATAGGTATAATATATACTATATAAGATACATTAAATACTATAGATGATCAATATTACTAAATAACAATACTATAATAGTAAATAAATAAATTGGGGATTAAACTACATATTAAATACAATAGCCAAAATGATAAATTAAGTACGTGATGCGTCTGTCTATTCTCTTCGTAGTAGTTTAGGAACCTTAACTTTACTACTGGTTGCCGTCCTGACATCCATGGGCAGCGCATTCCACAGCAACATGGATTGGACAAAGAATGAAGAGTGAAAGAAGTCGGTCCGGTGTGTGGGACATTGCAGAAGAAGATTATTAGTGGAACGAAGAAACTTGCTGTGGTTTGCAGTTATGAACTGAAAATAGGAGCATAGATAGCTAGGAGAAGTGAGGGATTCAAGTAAAGAGAATAAATTGGTTAACGCCGTTTGTTTCCTGCGCTGACGTATGGGCAACCACTTTAGTTGCAACCGATATGTAGGGACATGGTCGTATTTACGCAGGTTAAAAACGAATCGAATGCAGTTACTTAGAAGGCGGTTAAGTTTATTGAGTAGATCTGCAATCAGGTCGTAGTAACACATATCAGCGTAATCAATTATGAGGAAAACCAAGGACTGAACAAGCATCGCCTTGGTCGACGACGGAAGGAAGCTTTTTTAACCTGAGTTACCAATAGAGTGTGTCGGTGTAGTAATGGGTAACTCATCAATTTAAAATGAGGATGAGGGAGGACCCTCATTTTACCTCGCGAGGTATTCGTGAGGTACCCCTCATTTGAGGTAAGGATTCGATCAGAAGCGAGAGCAGGTGTGCCGAACTCAGCCGACTGTTTAAGTGAGCGATCCGTACGGGCGCGATTTACTTACGAGTACACACGAATGAATACCGACCGTGAAAATTGACATCACTCTCACACACACCATTTTCTTTCGCTCATAAATATGTATTATGCCGCGAAAATAACGAAAGAATTTCATTTGATTACTATCTAATTACGCACATTTAGAGTTTTAATTGAAAAAAGTTTTTTTTTTCTATATGTTTTTAATTTGATTTTGAATTATTTTTAGTTTAAGGACATGTCATTATAAAGAGCGGTCTCGTCTCGTTGATCGGAGAAATTATTTATCAAAGCATCACGGATCCCTTGCCAATTATCCGGTATACCATTAGAGTTAATAGTTCTGGCTGCAGATCCAGTAATTTTATTTAATATACCGTTTATTAAACACAAATTAGTAAATTCGCAACTCGGATCATCTCTAACGTATTGTCCTACGAGTTGATCGCATATTCTAATAAAACGCGTGAAGACATTTGGATTGCCATCAAATTCCGGGACTGGGCGCAAAGCCTTATAGATAGAATCGGGGTTCAATGCCATCTTATTTGTATCGAATATTTCTAAACCTAAATTATCTGAATCGATAGGGTTATCAAATTCCCTACACCTGCTTATCTGTCTGAAAGAGACAGATTTATTCCTGGTTACCCTTGGATGAAAAATTTTGATTAATTTTTATAAAAGGGTGAAAAGGAAGGATAAGGGAGCAACACTTAAAGAAAGTTTCAAGGACTTACATGTACATGATTATTTCGATGTATCGATGACTGGATACGCCCTCAGCTGCACCTTCTGAAGTTCGGATACTCGACGATGTACTTGGAAGTACAGACAGCGACTACCGGAGTCAGTAGATTAACGATTTTTGGAAATCTGTACTGCGCCACGCTGCCTCGAATATCCTACCGACTGCGCCAATTATGTAGGTGACAGCCGGAGGACTTTGAAATAATCGAAACTTTTAAAGATAAAAGTTAGCTACAAAATACCAAAAAGAAATACCTTTTAGGATTATAATATCGAACAGACAAGTTCGTGTACCCGTTAAGTATTCTTATAAAAAGGAATATTCTGATTGATATGACGAGTTCAGTAGGCAAGTGTGGAAAACCAATTTTACTTTAGCATAATTTAAATATTACAATAGTTTTATGTGTAGACTTGGACGATGCTAGTACCAAAGTGAATTATTTTATTAATACATATTATAGTCCGAATTAATTCTACGTAAAATACAGATGCAACATCAGCACTGTGGAAGTAAGTCACGAAGCGGCGACACGAGGAGTCGACTCAGCATATTAGGTGTTGCAATATTCCGTAAATGTGTCGCTTTGTGCATCATTGGCTATCATGTCGCTATTCAATGGATTTGGTATAGGCAGGGCACATAACATATGTTGACCTTGGAGATGTTATTTATGCATTGTTTACTAACAAAATAATATTAAATCTATATACTAGTATCAACTACTTGTAAGTGTAATATTGATTGTCTATTACAATTCCGTATTATCTATGGATTATAGTGTATGTATTATCTGTGCAATAAAGTTCTTTTAGTCGTTACAAGAAACCATAACACTGCGTTTTAATAGGAGATGCACGTGAATTGTTGACATTGTAATAGTTACTAAAATTTTTGTGTTTGCAAATATAATTGGATTGTTTGGTTTGTGCAAGTACCTTCTGGTTTTGGTGGTGGTTTGGTACC